TTTGGGGATGGTTGGGCGGGGGAGGGGGGGGGGAGTGGTGAACTGTGGCTTGCGACTGGTGCTTCTACCCCGAGGTCTGGAAGTTGTGTTAGAGGGAAGAATGGGGTCTTTAGGACATATAGAAGTGGGGTGCATGATGGAGCTGCACTGAGAACAATGTTCCGGTTTCCAATCATATTGGATTCTAAGCGGGGAAGTTTTACCATCAACAGAGTAGAAAGTTTCATCCGGGAGAGTGGAGGTGCTACTGATTTGCACACAAACTCTAGCAAAGGTTAAACGGGTTTTGGCAGTAGTGAGAGCATCGACAACTAGAAGGATTCCAACACAGCTAGCAAGTTTAGAGATACCTTCCGATGTCCAGCAGGAGAGGGGACATTTCATAATTTTGATCCAAAGGAAATTGACAGGAACTCTTCGCACTTGGGGACAAAATTTATTTTTCCAAGAAAAACTAGGGGCCTCCTATCTAGGCAAGCTCATAATTTTCAATCACTCTAAATTTTAGGAGGAAGAAACCATCATCCATTGTTAGAAGAGAGAAAGCTCCTTTGAGTTGCCATGTCTTTTTGATAACAGATAGCAAAGCCTCGTAGAATGATCTTTTGCCCACTGAATATCCAACAAGAGAGAGTTACCATTCAGGGGTTCCAGCAAGGAATTGATCACTAGTAAATTGGGCTGTGAGATTTTGTGTGGGGACAAAAGCTAGGGAATTAGAGAACTCCGTTGAAACTTGAGGGGATATTGTTAGAAGATTTTTCCAATCCAACGGAGAGACAACTGCAGTGGTGGAGACAGGGGGTAGGATGAAGAGAGAGGGGGGGGGAGGAGTCGGCCAATACTTAGTGTGACAAAAAAACCCTAGCAGAGCTTGTAAAAAATTACTTGATAAAGCCAATGATTTCCAACCTCTGATAAAAAAATTCACTTCTTCTCTTATTGATTGGAAGGCACAAATTCTATCCTTTGTTGGTATGATTCAATTTCTCAAATTCACCATAAGCAACACGTTGACTTATTGAAATAGAGGTTCTATCTTGCCCAAAGGATGTTGCAAACTCATTAATCTTTTATGCTTTAGATTCCTGTATTTTGGGGATACTAATATGAGGAAACTCTACACCATCTCCTGGAAAAACACTCGCATTCCCAAAAAAAATGGTGGACTGGGTATCCCATCCATGTAAGTTCTTAGATGACACTAGAAAGTGCTCTGGTACCACTTGAAAGTTCATTACAGATGATAGGACCTTAAGAATTAGCCCAAGGATAATTAAGAGAGAGAGGTGAATTGGTAAAGAAGAATCTTTAAGCAAAGCACAAACCAAAACAAATATCACCACATAGAAATCAATGATGCGGAAATTAGATGCGGAAGTAATAATAAGAAAGAACACACCAGATTTATAGTGATTCATTCAAACCTTGACATACGTCCACTCCTTGGAGGCACCCTCCAACTATTGCACTAACTAA